TACATGGCCAATACATGAAAAAAATAGCTGTGAAAGCAGATAATAATAAAACCTGGCAATGGCTAAGAGCAGGAAAATTGAAGAAAAGGACCGAGGGACTAATTCTGGCTGCACAAGACCAAGCCTTAAGGACAAATGCATAAAAAGTCAAAATTGAGAAGACAGCAACAGACAGTAAGTGCCGCCTATGCAAAGAAGCTGAAGAAACAGTGGACCACTTGGTAAGCTGTTGCAAGAAGATTGCACAAACTGATTACAAGCAGCGGCATGACAAAGTGGCAACAATGGTGCATTGGAAGATCTGCAAAAAATATCATTTGCCTGTAAGCAAAAACTGGTGGGATCATAAAATAGAGAAAGTCATAGAAAATGATAAAATTAAACTGCTCTGGGACTTCAGAATTCAAACTGACAAGCACCTGCAACATAACACCCCGGACTTAACAATTGTCGATAAGAAAGACAAAAAAGTCTGGATAGTGGATGTGGCAGTGCCTGGAGACAGCAGAATAGACGAGAAAGAACTGGAGAAGATCACAAAATACAAAGACCTACAAATAGAAAGACTGTGGCAAAAGCAAGCAAGGGTAGTACCAATAGTAATAGGCGCCTTGGGTGCAATCCCAAAACAACTGGAGCACCACTTGAACACCATCATCACCATTGACAAATTCGGCATTAGTCAATTGCAAATGGCGACCTTACTAGGAACTGCTTCCATCCTGCGACGATATCTGTAATACCATCAAACATCCACATCTGCCTATCCCAGATAGGGAAGGGCTCGATAGGTAGACAAAAATGCCAAATCCAGTCTGAACATCTGGCTGACTGTGCGATAATCAATAATAATAAAAAAGTTGAAAGGGACCTTGGAAGTTATCTAGTCCAATCCCCTGCTCAGGCAGGAAACCCTATTCCATTTTGGACAAATGACTGTTTAGTGTCTTCTTAAAAACTTCCAGTGTTGGAGCATTCACCGCTTCTGGAGGCAGATTGTTCCAGTGGTTAATTGTGCTGTCAGGAAGTTTCTCCTTAGTTCTAGGTTGCTTCTCTTCTTGATTAGTTTCCATCCATTGCTTCTTGTCCTGCCTTCAGGCACTTTGGAGAATAACTGGAGTCCCTCTTCTTTGTGGCAGTCCCTGAGATATTGGAACACTGCTATCATGTCCCCTCTCGTCCTTCTCTTCGTTAAACTAGACATACCAATTCCAGCAACCGTTCCTTATATATTTTAGCCTCCAGTCCCCTAATCATCTTTGTTGCTCTCCTCTGTACTCTTCCTAGAGTCTCAACATCTTTTTTACATCGTGGTAAGCAAAACTGGGTGCAGTATTCCAAGTGTGGCCTTACCAAGGCATTGTAATGGGGTATTAACACTTCACGTGATCTTGATTCTATCCCTCTGTTAATGCAGCCCAGCACTGTGTTGGCTTTTTTGGCAGCTGCAGCACACTGCTGGCTCATATTTAAGTGATTGTCCACTAGGATTCCAAGGTCCCTCTCACAGTTACTACTATTGAGCAAGGTACCCCCTATACTATACCTACACATTTGATTTTTCTTGCCTAAATGTAGAACCTTGCTTTTTTCACCATTGAATTTCATTTTGCTAGATAGCGCCCAGTGTTCAAGTCTGTCCAGATCCTCCTGTATCTTAAGCCTGTCTTCTGGAGTGTTGGCTAATATGCTAATTCCTTCAATTTCTTCAAAAACAGTTCCCAATTATCCTTCTTTCAGTTTCTTTTAGATTTTCTATGATGTTATAATACTATTTATATAATAGTTGAGATTCGCTTCAGAAAGCAAAATATAGTAAAACAATAATTAACAATTGTATTTATGCTTGCTTGTTTAATTTCCCCACTCATCCATAGTAGAGATTCTTCTTTTTTTTTCTTCCACTTTTGCAAATTTTCTTCAATCCTCCCTTCCAAGAAAACCAAATCTTTCTTAACAGACTCAGTCATACTTTCAAAAATCCTTAAACAACCTTTATGTTTTGTAGTTAGTAACTGTGTAATTTGCAGTATTTAAAAACTTCTACTCCCTTCTGCAAGTTTTGCTGCTTTATTAGTTTTCCTCTCTAAGAGAAGAAAAATAAAGATAAGACATGCTTTCCCCCACCCATTTTTTCTCTAGAGTCTTAACTCTTTGGACCCATCTAACACTCTGTACAGGCAGTCCTCTACTTACAACCACAATTCAGCCCAAGGTTAAGTGATTTTTGTCCCATTATACATTTTTTGCTGCAGCTGTTAAGAGAATCACTGCAGTTGTTTAGTAAATCATGTGATCATTAATTGAATCTGACTTCCCCCATTGACTTTGTTTGTTGGAAGCTGTCTGGGTTATGATCAGATAACCCCAGGACAATGCAACTGTCATAAGTACATGGCAGTTGCCAAATGTCTAAATTTTGATCATGTGAATGCTGGAATGGTCATAAGTATGAAAATGGTCACAAGTCACTTATTTCAGTGACATTGTAACTTCAGTCACTAAATAAATAGTTATAAGTCAAGGGCTACCTGAAGTTCTGTAGTCAAATGATCTTTTTGCAATTTTCCCTTATCTCTTTCTTAAAACTAATCTATCTTCAGACTAATATTTAGAGTAATCTAGTCTTCTTTCCTATGGAGATATGTATAATTTATTTAATTATTTCAATTAAAGGGGGGGTTTGGGTAGGGGTGGGGGAAGGGGGGTTTTGTTGGGTAATGTTTGTTTTTTATTTGTATATGTTGTTTTTTGTTTTTGTATTGTTTCTTATTTTTTGTAAAATTTATAAAACTCTTTAAAAAAAAAAAAGTACTTTTCAATAAATAATTCCAAATTCAAATCCCCCTTTAAATTTTCAGAGTGCAAATCGAATCCAAATGTTATTCTCTGCCTTTGACTGCCATCATGGGATTTATTCGAAGCCATTGCAGACCTATCAAAAAAAATTATTAAAGTTTTCTAATAAAACTTGTAAGTTAAAGAGCATTTGTTTCCAAAGACTTCCCAGAAATCTTTATCTCTTTTTGTAGACACTGTGAACACAAACAAATCCTCTCAAGAACAAGAGAGCAGATAACAAAATGTTCACAGAAAAATTAAGCTAACATTTCCCAGAATGTGAAATAATCAAAAGGAATTTTCCTATAAAGTTTTAAAAAATAATAGCTTTTAAAAACTAGTAAAAACAGAATCTTGTAATAAGATCTAATATAAGTATAAATCAAGTCAGATAACTTTTATTATCAAAGATAATAATATATATTTATAACTTTTTATAAAAATTATAAAAAAAAGTTTATAAAATACCGGCAAGGGGTTATAGGATGGATCAGCATTCAACCAGTCAATTAAAGTATAAATAAAAAAAATAAGAAAACTTTTTTAAAAAGTGTAATTAAAACCAAGGCATTTTTAAAAGAACAAGTAGCTGAAAGGAAGAGATTAAAGACTGGGCTCTCCAATCGCTTTTACTGAGAACCATGATCTTTAAGATCTTTCTTCTCCAAAGGTACACAATCCTCCAAGGATTATCTTGGATCATTCCTAGCTGCTCCTATTCAAATCTGGGGAGCTACTTGCCAAATAACCAGCTTTGGTGGCATAATCAGCTGTTTGTCAGCAGGAGAAAAGAGACTGCCCATTGCTCAGGTCACCTCCTAGGGGAAGTCAAAAATTTCTAGTTAAAATCTTAAGGAAAAGTTTTATTAAGAATAAAATGGGCTATTTCAGTGGTGGCGGACTTATGGCACGCATGCCAGAGGCGGCACTTGGAGCCCTCTCTATGGGCACACGTGCCGTTGCCCCAACCTTGCCTCCCCTCACCAGCAGCCCCCCTGGAGGAGAGTCACCCCCGAGCGTGGCCCATGCAGAGCAGTGCAGCCAAAGACATGGAAGCCAGGCAGCATAGACAAGACTTTGCCCTCATGTCCCATTGCACACAGAGTGCAGAGGGCATGGCCGCCATGGCGATGCTGGGCTGCCTGAGTGATCTGTGGCAGGCCCTGGAGGTGGTGAGGGCCCTGCGGGTAGGTGGGGCAGGGGATGGGGGGGCGGGGCAGGGAGTGGAGCAGGGGCGGGGACAGTTTGTGGGCACACAGTCTCTTAAAGGTTCGCCATCACTGGGCTATTTGATCCTGGATGGATCAGAAATAATAATTGTGGTAATTTGTGGCAGATCATGTGGCCAGCATGACGTGATGGAGTGCTGTTACTTTTGGGTGAACATTGATAGAAATGAGTTGATGATTTTCAGACTTATCAGTTGAAATGGATTAGATATGTAAAGAAGTTAACTACATACATAATTTTAGAAGAGAAGAATGATATTAAATTTAGATGTAGCCATGGTAAGGAAGATTGAAAACTGTTTCTTTGAAAAAAAAATCTTTTTTTTCTTTTCTGCATTGTTAAACCTTTCCTTTCTTTCTTAATTTCATTTTCTGTGCTTATGTTTATCTTTTATATGTTTAAAATTTTTAATAACAGTTATATAAACATAATTATATTTTTGTTGATCCAACCATTTTTACTCTTTTTCATGAGTGTCCAGGTATTTCCAGTTATACATCATATTTTGTTTTCTATGTAGAATTATTGTTGATGGTTGATTTTTCAATAATTGATTTCTGCTCTTTTCATTCAGATATTCTTTCCACTCTGCAATATCTCAAATTATTTTTATCTTTCTTTGTTTTCCATCCTGATATTTTACTTTTTAATAGAGTGTAAACTGAATTCTAAGTTTTCATAAAACCTAATTTTTTCAGCCAACAATCCTCACATTTTCCTACAATGAATAATGGCCATTCTAACTACTCCCGTAGAGAAAATTATACTCAATGTTGTTTCAAACTTAGTCTAAGTTGACAGATGACATAGAAAACAAAGCATGATTAGTATTTGAAGACCAGTCAAGATATATCCACTAAGTTTCTTTACTTCTGTGAAAAATAATTTGGATCATTTCCCACTTACCCAAAACCTCTTTTGGTACTTACCATTAATTTCTGATGGCTGGGAAGATGCAAGAACCCGGGCTTGTTCCAAATCTTTCATATTTAATTCCACATTTGCCCGTAGCTGGGTTCTTTCTTCTGAAAGCTTCCTAATTTCTTTTTCTAAAAATAAATATAAAATAAAACTGCCTATAAAACTCCCTATCTTGCCAAAATGCCAATGTTTTTATATATAAAATACATGCTATATTGATAAATCTGAACTCTCTTAACTTCTGAAGCACTATGGTTTGGGGTGTTAATGTGTTTACTTTATTCTGTGGTGAATCACGCATAGCTAATATATAGCTATGTACCAGATACATAGTATCTGGTTTACTCTCATTTTTCTTTTTATACACATTTTTTATCACTATTAACATTTTCCTTGGTTTTAATTCTTGTTTATTTATTGTGTTTATGTTGTACACTGCCAGATTCAGAGTCTGAATTGGGCAGTCTTATAAATCTTGAAATTAAATATGAATAACATTTATAAGTTAATAATGATTTAAATGCTATATAATTATCTCTACATGGTGCATAATTTTGATTTGATACCCACCAATATTTTCGTGTTTTCTAATTTGTTGATAATCTTTTATATGTGAGTCTAAGATTGAAAGGAAGGCTGTTCTTTCCTCTGCCAGATCATTTCTTTCTTTCTCTATTAAAAAAAAAAGAAAACTTCTTTAATCTAACCAATGGTGCTAAAGAACTAAACATACAAATCTAAAAAGTCACAATTCAATTAGTTTATAGTTTTCGGCTGTAGTAAAGATACATTCATTCTATTACTTTACCTTTTCTACATTATTATAACAATAGTTAATCTATATTAAGGATCTCATTTTAATATTTATCTTAGTTTCTACCTGAGAGATCAGCTTTAGGAGGCTGCTCTTGCAATAAAGGTCTAACAACCGATACTACATTTGCAAGTAAAGTTCTTTTTTTTTCATCTTCCTCTCTTTCACCTATATGCATTGAAAGAAAATGAGATATTATATAATTATTATTACCAAATAAGTATTTTCCCTTTCCCAACAGATGATGTATGAAAGAAGCTTATTAATTAATCTTATGTTGGCCCTAGAATTCTCTGGGCCAAAGCCCTACTGCGAGATATGCAGCCTGTTTGGTAAGCTCTGGTGCATGTTTTTTGTCCCTCAAAGCTCTAGGTTTTGGGGCAGCTTGGAATGAACATGCAACCAGGGGTCCGAACTGGATCATGCCTGTGTAGACTCTCTATAAATGTGGATCCTGTAGAGCTAAAGTCTCAGAAGATGCATAGAGCACCACTGGCAAAGGGCAAAGAGGTAAAACCAATAAAGCACAGGTGAGAGCCCTTATTAAGATTTACCTTGTGGCAATAAGAGTGATTCTACTTATTTCTTGACTCTCATTGCATCTGCAGATAAACAACCAGCAGCCCTATTCAGAGGACCAGGTCCCTTCTAGGTTAAGAAGAGTCTGGGAAAGCCCTTGCTGGGTTGCTGTGAATAATATTCTTGGCATGTGTTGAAGAAAGTCATTTCATTTCACTTGGAGCTGGACACTGGCTGGGCAAGTCCTATGGAACTGAAGTAGGACTGCCCTTATTATCCAGAAAGAATTTGAGCCAGTCACTCCCTAGTCACTCCTTGGAGCTGTGAGTTTTGCTGACCCATCCCCTTTCAGGATCTTGTGAGATTGCATAGACTAAAATGGTGATTAATGACTTTTTGCAGGAAATATTGGGACTACCTGCCTTGAAGGAGGTATGATATGTCCCCCTTTTAAGAGGCTATCCTTAGATTCAATCATATTAGACAACTTTGTCCAGTCTCCTGCTAGACAAAATTGTCTAATTCCTCCTCGTTACATAAGGTTGTTATGGACAGTAGATACTCCATGGCTCTAGATGAAGTGGATTATATGTATATTATCTTTTCAGTCAGCATTCAGGTGATGTTATATCACTAGGACAGCACTTGTGGATGATGTATGAGAGGTACAGAATGAAAATGATTCTGGCCCTCCTAGATCTCTCAGCAGAATTCAATACTACCAATGATGGTATCCCTTCTGGGAATGGAGGCACTGTACTATAATGGTTCTCCTTCCTCTGTGGCAGGTTCTAGTTGGAATTGCTGGGAGATAAGAGTCAAGCCCTAGACCCTGCAATGTGGGGTGCTCAGTGCTTAAATCTTTTGTTCCTTACATGACACCTCTGAAATATATCATCTAAATGCATGGGATGCAATATCATCAGTACACTGATATTATACTTATATATCTCCACCATAGGTAAACAAAAGTGTATAATTTATTTATTTATTTATTTATTTATGAGACTTATATACCGCTTTAAGTGAAAGCACTCTCTAAACGGTGTACACCAGTAAGCAATGTATATATATTCAAAGAAGTAGTTTATTAAAAAATATGAATCTAAAGATAAAGATATGAAATCTTTTGATAGTTGATAATTACACATTATATTTCCTAATTTATCACTTACCAGCTTGCTGTATTTCATCTGGAGTTACCAGCTGATTTAGCATTTGAAGTAACTCAAGTTTTTGTCTCTCTGGTAATTTTCCTATCTCATTGAAAAAATGCAAGTTAGAATTTTGTTAGGAATATAACTTTTGCAATCAATTTTTCATCATTTATATCATAGCCTAATAATGTAGGAAAACAAAATGTTTTTTGAGATTAGATAGCCACTCCTAACCCATCCTTGTTCTTTCTCCTATATTTCTATTGAGGATAGTTATTTGGGACACTTCTAATGAAATTATTGGGGTTTTTTAAGAAAGAAAAAACTCTGTCCAAAGCAAGGTACTTATATTTCAGCACAATTATATTTTCTTTCAAAATCATATTTATATATTCCTTTCATCAAATATTTTGCACTACAACTACAAAATGCTCTTTGTAACAACAGCATGTTCTAAGCATAGTAAGATTCAACTGAAATTGTATTGTTTGTCTAATTCAAAATGTTCTCTTGATTAGAGATTTAGGCTTGGCATAAAAATTGGATTTGATAGTGTTTATTGCTTACTGATCAAATTATATCCCAAATTATTGTTATTACCATATGATTAGTAAAGAGTGTTACATGTAGCAAGGCTGTAACTAAGGCAAGTAACTAGACTATTCTTTATCTTCTTAAAAAATATTATGTGACCAAGGACATGATAGGCAACAATGATCAAAAGATGTGAACCCATCTAATGATGAATACAGGATATGAAAGATTGAAAGTTAGAATTAAAAGAGAAAGTATGAATTACTACATGAAATGAAATAAATAAAATGGATATAGTATTAATTACAAAATTAAAAGAAAAAATGTGATATTATAAAGAGTGAAATCTGTAAACAAGAGGTATGGAAGAAAAAGAAATGAAAGATAAGGGAAACAACTACAGCAAAAGAAAATACATCCTTCAGTTAAAAATATTTGAAGACAAATTAATCTCCCAAAAGAACAAATAGAAAGTGTATATAAAGGAAGAGGACAAGAAAGATATTTGGAACAGAATCAAAAGAATGTTAGAGACTGCCAGGGAAGTCGCGAGACTTTTAGTAGTAGCATGTATCAAAAGGATGGATGGTGAAATAATGAATGAAACGAATGAATGAATGACCAGTAGGAAAGAAATAAGCTCAGGTGGCTTGATAATATAAGAGAATGAATGAGGATCAAATTTTAAAACAATATGTGAAGAAAGATTGAAGAAGGATTCAAAGGAAGGCAAAAATTAGAAAATTGTGTTCTGGGTCAAACTAATCAGCTCCTGAGTTTAACAAATAGTAAGCAATATATAGAATGAGATATGGTTACTATGACAGCAATGCTGATTTGTAAAAATGGAAAGATTAAGCCAAATAGTATTGATATAAAGTAGCTTTAGCAATATTTCTTACTCTTATCCTTATTTCATGACTTCTGTTATTTTTTTTTTTTTTTATTCCTTAGTCCTTTTCTGCAGATTCTTATTCCAAAAGGCTATAGCATGACTGGGATATACATACATACATACATACATACATACATACATACGTTTTCTGAGGTTTTCGCGCGTGTTTGTGTGTAGGTCTTTGGTTATTCGGGTTTTCTCCCACGTAAAATTGGAAGTGTCTTGGCGACGTTTCGACGAAGTCCCATTCGTCATCTTCAGGCTGGTGCTTTCGGCTTCATGCTTCTAGGAGCAATTGCTGCTCAAAGCATGAAGCTGAAAGCACCAGCCTGAAGATGACGAATGGGACTTCGTCGAAACGTCGCCAAGACACTTCCAATTTTACGTGGGAGAAAACCCGAACAACCAAAGACCTACATACAAATACCCGCGAAAACCTCAGAACACACACACACACACACACACACACACACACACACATATATAGTGTATATGTATATATATATATAGTGTGTATATATATATATAGTGTGTGTATATATATATATGTTTTCTGAGGTTTTCGCGGGTATTTGTATGTAGGTCTTTGGTTGTTCGGGTTTTCTCCCACGTAAAATTGGAAGTGTCTTGGCGACGTTTCGCCGAAGTCCCATTCGTCATCTTCAGGCTGGTGCTTTCAGCTTCGTGCCTCGAGCAGCAGTGTGTGGTCTTGGCTGTTTCTTCCTTTTAACTGCCAGTTAATGGGACTTCGTCGAAACGTCGCCAAGACACTTCCAATTTTACGTGGGAGAAAACCCGAACAACCAAAGACCTACATATATATGTATTCCTATATGTATGACTATTGATTTTTAGTCAGAATTGGTGCTATAGATACTGTATATCAATAGCTCAAGTACTATTTAATTTATCACAAGTATAGCATAAATATTTTTCTATTAAACATATATATGCATAACATATTATATATGTGTATATATATATATATACACACACATATGTATATACACACATATATACAGTATATAATATTTATATACATATATATAATATATATGTGTGTATGTATGTATGTGTGTGTGTATACACACACACAAACATACATATACACAGAGTTTGATTAAACTAAGGCAAAATACCAATTACTTTAAATTAACCAAGTTAAAAATAACTAGTTAAAAACCCTAGCATCCCTTCTGCAAATCATAGGGTTTATCTTTCTTAACTATTTCTGATTTCAATTTTTAAGACATCTTAAGGAAACTTTAGACCTACATAGAATATGATCTTGAAGACACTTATCAAAGAATGCACTATGTTCTGCTCTCATATTTCAATAATACTTACCTTTGTCAGACTCAAGCAAGAGTTTTGCTAAAGTTTCAGCTTCAGGCATTCCCTTTAGTTTCGTCAAATTATCTTTTAACTGAAACATTCTTTTACAGATCAAGTGATCCTCCTCTATAAAATCAAAATACTTTTTAACGTATTATAACACAAGATATAAATATCACTAAAACCATGCTGTTTATGCATTAAGAAATATTTAAGCATTGTTATATTTGAGATCCATTTTAATTCTTGTATTTGTATATAATTGTGTTTATAAACAGACAAACACACACACACACACACACAGAGAGAGAGAGAGAGAGGTTTGTGTGGAATCATGGCACACAATCAAGAAATACATAATCATTGTATTTCCTATCTTTATGGAATTTACTTTTGGATTGGGACTGGAGAATTTTTATACAGTTACAGTCAAAAAATATTTTATTTAATGGGGCTAAAGATCATATAGATTTATAGCCATTTATAATGCACATCTTCAAAATTCACCTTTAGGATTTATCCATAACTAAACTACAGTTTTAATAATGTATTTTGGAATTACTATACTAAGATTGTTTAACATAAGATTTCTGTTTTCAAGGAACATTACATAGAATATTATGCATGTTTTATGATTTTTAAGAGTAAAATAACAAAATGAGAACAACAATTACCTTTTTTAAGTCCTACTGAATCTATGTCAAGTCTTGGGATTTCTTTTTGTGATGTTAAAGGCTATTGAAAATAATTAAAAAAATAGTAAATGGAATATTCCTGCCTGCTTTTTGTTATGTACATTAAATCTATTGGACTTTTCATCTACTCCAGTCACAATGTAGTGATTTTTTTCCTACCCCTTCTTTATGAAATGGAATAAAATACCAATAAAGAGCTTCTGTATATTAATTTGGAGGCAACTAGGTAAAGATATGAAAAATATGAATTAATGCTTTATGAAATTCAAAAACAATTTTGAATGTACTATCACATCACAACTTCACACTATCTCTGTGAAAGAGATAATGTAATCAACTCTGCAAACATACACCTCATTAGCTCAAGAAGTAAAAATCAAGAAGGTGAGGACAATTAGTGACAGAAGTAAAAAGAAATATTAATTGGAAAAAAGATGTCAATGAAGAAGCTCCACCAAAGTAACAAAAGATTAATGAGGATGAGGGTTTTATTTATTTACTTATTAAACTTATATGCCACCATCTCATCTAGAAACGACGCTAGGCAGCTTGGAATAATAAAATCAAAATAAAACTTTAAAACATTAAGTGGATAAATATTAACACTGAAATTGATTTAAAATTGATAGATGGTGTGAAAGGGAGCAAGATGCACATGGGAAGTATTGGGATGTTAGTCCTTTAACCATCTTCAGAATGGCATGTCCCCATTGGGGCTGAAGGCCATTTGGCAGAACCAAGTTTTCAGACCCATTTGGAAGGCCAAAAGGGTGGATGCAGATCTCACCTGAGGGGGAAAATTTCCAGAGGACTGGAATCATAGCAGAAAAGGCTCTTCTGCTGGACACCACAAGCCATAATTCCTTGATTGTGAAGGGTCTGGAGCATTCCCCTTCTGCCAGTGTGGGTGGGATGAGCCAATCCCATTGAGATGAGATGGTTCCTCAGATAACCTGGACTCATGCCATAAAGGCTTTAAAGATAAGAACCAACACCTAGAATTGAACCTGGAAGCAAACTGGCAACCAAAGTAACTCATGGAACAGCAGTGTAACATGGGCCACCCTAAGGGCCCCCAGAACGGTCTGCGTGGCTTCCTCCTGCACCAGCTGTACCTTCCAAATATTCTTCAAAGTAACCCCATATAGAGCATGTTGAAATAGTCTAAGAATAAGATGACCAGGGTTTCAGTGACTAAGTGCAGGAACTCATGATTCAAGAAAGGGCACTACTGACACACAACATAAAATTGTGCAAAGGCTCTTCTGGCCACGACTCTTTGAGGAGAAATCACAAGTCTAGAAGAACTCCCAAGTTGCACACTGAATCTGTCTGGGGCAATGTGACCCTATCCAAAACTAAAGACATTAAAAGTCTCAGATTCCAAAGTATCATGTGCCAAAAGCTGCTCAGTCTTACCAGGGTTCACCTGAAGTCTGTTGTCCCCCAGCCAGATCCCCTCCCCAGCCATGAGGAGGCAGTGACAGCATTACTTAGGTCACTGAGGATGGAGAGATGTAAAACTAAGTATCAACAGCATACCGATGGTACTTCAGTCCATGATGGTAGATGATCTCACCCAGAAGCAGCATGTATATGTTAAAAGGGAGTGGAGAGAGTATCAAGCTTTGTAGCATATCATAAAGGAGTGACCATAGATTGGACTTCTCACTCCATAACAACACCAATTGGGACTTGCCTTCGATAAAGTAGCAAAATCAGCTAAGACTGCACCACTGAGCCCCAAACCCGAGCTGACTCGAAAGGATACTACCGTGTTCCCCCCAAAATAAGACCCAGTCTTATTTTTGCATCCAAAAGATGCACTAGGTCTTATTTTGGGGGGTGCCTTATTTTTTCCCCAATACCTGCCTCGCCTCACAGCGGCAACACCAACATCCCTGTTCACTAGGAGCCTGATGCAGCCACCGCTACGAGGCGAGGCAGATGGCAGAGAGCTGCCCCATGGGCCCCGCACCCACTTACTGCAGGACCAATGCAGCTAGACCTCCCACACCCCAACATGTTGCGCTGCTGCCTCACTTCTACAGCTGCTTGAGGCAGGACACATGACATGTCATGCCGCTGCCGCTGCTGCCACAAACAACAGCAGAATTGCCCCAGGATGGCTTCACTGGTGGCAGATGTGTGCTATTTAACTCTAAGTGCCTAGACCAGAGACTCAGCAGGCTTAAACGAGACTGTCTTGTAGCTCCGAGGGGGAAGCCGAAGCGACGGCAGAGCACTCTGCTCATCACCTGGCCTGCCCTGTTGCGGCCATCCCCACCTGGAGCCTCTGTCTCCTTACCAGCCTGAAGCTCCAATCTTGTCATTTAAGTTTAAATAGTGTGCAGCTGGCGCCAGCGGAGCCATCCCAGGGAGACTCTGCTGTTGTTGTTGCTGCTGCTATTGCTGCTGCACCAGCCTGGGCCCCATCCCACTGCTGCCTCCCAAGCCAGCCAATGCGCATGAAATTGCTGGACAGCAGGCAAAGATGGAGCTTGGGAGGCAGCAGCAAGGTGCAGCCAGGCCGGCCGAGCAGCAGCAGCAACAGCAGAATCCCTCCCCAAGATGCAATGCTCAACTGCTGCCTGAGACGGAGGTATGACAGAGACTGGAAGCTCCATCTCCTTGTGAATGGAGCGCTTTGAAATGGAGCTATTAGCTCTGTCTCCAAGCATCCCATTCACAAGGAGATGGAGCTTCCAGTTTCCGTCAGATCTCTGTTCAGGTGAAAAATGTTTGGGCGACTATGGGGCGCTTTGGAACCGAGCAAATCGCTTTGTTTCAAAGTGCCCATAGGCGTGCAGACACTTCCCCCTGCCTCTGCCTCTGCACATGGACTTACCTGATCTGCGCTAAAGGGCAGGCAGGCTGCAGCTGCTGCTTGACACTGTTGCCCCCTGCATTGTCACTGCCATTTTTGCTGGCCACGCCCACCTCCCAGGCTTATTTTTGGGGCAGGGCTTATATTAGGCCTAAAGTGGGAAGCTGGAAAAATACTGATTGACTAACAGAAATTGTGGGTGCAAGGGAGGTTTCCTGTCTCCCAGACGACACATAAATTTAGAAGTGCCAGATCAGCCCAATATCCTGTTTTTAACTTTGCACATGATATATTGCAAACTGCCTAAGTAGCTTTTCTATGTTAGAATAAGGAACTATAGAATATAACCATGTATGGAATATTCCATGATCAGGAAATGCTTATGTATTAAAGAGTATAAGAATGTTCACCCATGCCCCTGTTCGGGGTTCAGACCCTTTTTGCTGTGATTAGCACTCTGAACCTGCGCAATAAACCATTCCTTTCTCAGAAGAGCTGACTCAAGTCTCTCATTTCTACAACAGGCCTACCCCAAAAAATCAGGCTAGGGTTTATTTTTGAGGTAGGCCTTATTTTGGGAAAAACACAGTATAAATGATATTGAAGGCTACTGAGAAGTCATGGAGAGCAAGGATGAATACACTACTACTATCCCACTCTTGCCAGAAATCATCAACAAATATGACCAATGCTCTTTCTGTCCCATTATTGGGCCTGAAACTGACTGGAAGAGGCCCAGATATTCTGTTTCATCTAGGGCCCTCTGAAGCTACCTTGTCACCACTTTTTCTACCATCTTCCCTAAAATGGGAAGAGGGAAAACTGGGCAAAAGTTGTCCAGGCTGGTGGGATCAAGAGTTTTTTTGGGGGGGGGGGAGATTACAAATTAGAAATATGCTTGACATGGTATTTCAGAGTCCCCAAAAATCACCCAGCATTACAGTCTTTAGAGAGATAAAATGAGAAGTATAAAATAGGCACTATGATTCTTATAATGTATAAAAATATTGGACTCAGGTTTATCATCAGTCCTGAAACAGAATAGAAATGAAAATAGAATCAAATAAACCTGATTCTTTTCATTCTGCAAAAATACCTCCATTTGATTACCTATTGGTTTAAGTAGCTGCCTTACTGGTTCTCTCTCCCCCTCCCCTTGCTAATTATTAGGTGAGATCAGTAATCTGGTAGGATATTTCATATTTTTTTAAAAAACAAACATTTATAAAGTATACTTTGTACTTCTTGAAAAGACATAAACAATTTATTGTGCCTCATATCATTTAAAAAGTTTCTGCCTCTTCAGTCAAAAAGGATATTTCTAATCACTCTTCTAATGAAGAGTTAGTCTTGCAAGCGAAATCACAGGATTGTTTGTACAATTGAGATTTCTGACATTCAATCCATTTTTTTAAAAAAAATCTATATTTTCCAATACAATTTAATATGTGGCTTCTTTTTTCTTAAATTTTACAAAGATAAAAAAACTAATACAAACTAAGAAAGATAAAAAGTCAAAAAGTGAAAGAAAAAAGCAAACAAATGAAAGAAAAAACATAAAACATGACTCCTTCTTCCCTGTGACAAGTATAAATTTGGCTATCACCACAATTTCTCTAGTACTTCAGTTTTAAAAAATATATGTTCTTCCCATATACCATGTTGCCCCCAAAATAAGACCGGGTCTTATATAAATATATATATATATATATATATATATATATATATATATATATATATATATATATATATATATATATATATATATGTTTTCTGAGGTTTTCGCGGGTATTTGTATGTAGGTCTTGGTTGTTCGGGTTTTCTCCCACGTAAAATTGGAAGTGTCTTGGCGACGTTTCGACGAAGTCCCATTCGTCATCTTCAGGCTGGTGCTTTCAGCTTCGTGCCTCGAGCAGCAGTGTGTGGTCTTGGCTGTTTCTTCCTTTTAACTGCCAGTGGGGGTATGAACTGATTGGGTGGGAGCTTGGCTGTGTTCTGATTGGGTGGAGGTGTGTTCTGATTGGTTAGGGGCTTGGCTGTGCTCTGATTGGCTGGGGGGTTGGCTGTGCTCTGATTGGCTGGGGGGTTGGCTGTGCTCTGATTGGCTGGGGGAGTGTTCTGTTTGGTTGTGCTCAGGTTAGTCTGAGTTGCAGAGGGATTCAAGATTTTGGGCTGCCCTGCCATTCCTTGGCTTCGCGTTCGTGGTCGTGCTT